CTCATTATCTTTTCTAAGATCAGTCCGCATTCTCCATTTTCCAGATTTCTTTTTTATCACAAACACAGGGGAGTTCCAAGGACTAGAGGAAGGCTCAATATGTTCAGCTTGTAATTGTTCCCGTACTAAGTCATGCAGCACTTCTAATTTCTCTTGACGAAGGGGCCACTGTTCCACCCAGACTGGTTGTTCCATTTTCCAGGTGAGTTGTAAAGCGAAGCACTGTACAGGGGCCCCTACTCTAAATTTGGAAATGCTATTCCGGCTGCAGAACTATGACAATTGAGCATGAACTGTCTTTCAGATTTAGATATAGTAGGAATCTCTAAAGTGGCTCCCCATTGAGCCAACAAATCTCTTCCCCGCNTTCCCCATTGAGTCAACAAATCTCTTCCCCGCAAATTTAAAGGAATCTCAGCCACATAAAATTGACAATGTCCTATCTGTCCCTCTGGCCCGACACACTATAATTCTTTAGTACTTTGATATACATTGGTTAGTGTGCCGATTCCAGTAAATTGAGCCCTAACCGTTTGCAAAGGCCATTTTTTCGGCCAGTTCTGATAAGCTATAATAGACACATCTGCTCCTGTGTCCAACAACCCTTCAAATTCCCTATTATTTACCCTCAATTTCATTTTGGGCCGTATATCATTAATGACAGTATGCCAGAAGATCTGTTTGCCTGTGCTTCCAAACCCTCCTTGTCTTTGGAGTGGTGCAGCTTTCCCTTTAATATATGGTAATATAAGCAATTGTGCAATCCTTTGCCCTGCATCGATATTAGTAGTTTTGGATACACTGATCATGACTAAGATTTCACCTAAATAGTCTGAATCAATAATTCCGGTGTGCACTAAAATTCCCTGTGTTGTCAAACTACTTCTACCTAACAATCGTCCTACAGTATTTTTAGGAATAGGCCCAAACACATTAGTATGCAACTTCTGAACTCCTGCACCTGGGACTAGTGTAACATTGTGCACACTAGGAAGGCCCAGTGCAGCACTCCCCTGGGTAGCATGTATTAATTCTGAAACATTGGTGTGGGCATGGAGGGGTAATTGATTTCCCCCTGAGATTGGCATTGTTGAAAGCCCATATTGTTTTCCCTGGGGCCCCGGCCCTTGGGGCCCAATCTGTAGTTTCCCAACAGGACATTCCCTTGTTTATCTCTTTTAGATCAGCATTCATTTGTCCAGGGAAAGCCTTTTCCACATCTCCTGAACAACCCGGTGCGCAGATTTTTGGATGTAGGCAGATTACTAGCTCTATTTCCATTTCCATTTTTATTTTTCTTGCAATCTTTACGAAAATGTCCCAGTTTCCCACAATTGTAATATTTTTGAGTGCTGCCTTGCAAGCCATCCTTCAAAGCACTAGCTAATAGGTGTGCATGATGAGGTGGCGAACCAATATCATGACAAGCTTTTATAAATTCATCTAGAGGGGCCCCTTGCACCTTAAGAGGGCGAAGAGCCTTTTCACATTCAGAGTTAGCATTTTCATAAGATAATGTTCTCAGCAAAATGTCCTGCACATTGGGGTCTGCTACAGCCCGATTAACAGCCTTTCTGAGTCGTGATAAAAAATCAATATAAGGCTCGTTAGTATTCTGAACCAGTTTTGTAAATGACAAAGGATTAGAACCAGGAGGCTCGACTCTATTCCAAGCACGCAGACAGACTCCTTGAATCTGCACTGAAGCAGGATCATCTAACTGAGCTTGCTGTTGCTAAGAGCTATGTTGTCCCGTGCCCAGTAATTCCTCCATAGTTGATCTGAGGGGATTTTGCTGTGCATTGACTCGAGCATTATGCTCTGCCTCCTCTTTCCACCATGTTTTGAATTGTAGATATTCTCCTGGTTCTAAAACAGTCCTTGCTAATGTCTCCCAATCCATTGGAATAAGCTTATGGTCGGTAGCAAAATTATTAAGCAAGCCAGTAACATAGCTGGAATGCATTCCATAACTAGAGATGGCCTCTTTAAAGGCTTTCAAAACCTTATATTCAACAGGCATAAAATTAACATTTGTTCCTCCTTGAGGAAAGCCGGGCTGGGGACCAAACTCTTGTCTGGTAATAGGAAAGTCCATGAACTGTAAAAAGTCATCACTATCCCCAGCAGCATGAGCTCCTTCTTGATCACTTAATAACTTTTGAATTGTCAGATTATTCGGTTTAACTGGAAAAGCGAATTGCACAGGCCCCACAGGCATTTGAGAATGGGAGTGGAGGGGCACTTGGCTTCGGAAGAGAACCCGTAGGAACTCCGGCTTCGGTTCCCAGCTCAGGAGGCCTAGAATAATTCCTGCTCTCATCAGGTTGCTTTTTTTCCCATGGGAATTTGCAGTGCATCAGCCCGTTCAGCAAGTTGCTGGATCTGAGCGGTAAGGACACAGTAGATACCTCGATCATGATCAAATTCCTCATCCCAAGCATCAGACTCTTTCTCCCCACGATTAAAGCCCTCCTGTTTTGTCTCATCCTTTATTGGTAAGGGAGGAAGAAGCCAATCTCAATCTCGTAAGTCTCCCGCTGACTCATGGCCCCTGTGTTCCCCATCGAAAGCAGGCCTCTCAGAATCTGTGCTGTGTTCAGAGTCCGACTGAAATGGGGCAGTTGCCATGGAGGTGAAATTGCATAATGACCATACCCCCATAGGAACAGGGTCCCCTAACTGCTGTGCTCTTCTAAGAGCCTGCATAACTTGTTTCCATACTTTCAGATTTAATTGTGCTTTACCTTTTGGTTGAAACCAATAACAGTGTATTTTTACCACCGTGAATAACTCTTTAAACTATTTCTCTTTCACTTTTACCCCCGAGCTCGCCAGCAAGCTCTGTAACAACCCTGCATACTGTGTTCCGGCGGATGGGGAGTCCCCAGGACTCTGCCCCCTCTTTCCCGGGAGTGTCGCTTTCCTCTAGCGCATCTGTCTCTCTCCAGTTCCCCCGTGACTTACCAAGCCCGTTGCTGTGGACCCTACTTGCTGCGCCAGTTGTTGTGCTTGCAGGACACGAAGAAACTCGAGACACAGAGAATGTAGGATTTAGGTGGAGATGCAGAGGGTTGAGGCTCTGGAGGAGCTGCAACCACCCTCCTTACCATCCAGCGATTTTTATTGTGAGCTACAGAAAAGTAGGTGTGAGAGGTAGTGATCAGTAGAGACCATAAAATGCGCAAGAACAAGTGGCTTTGTTCTGAGCTATATGCTTAGCATTTTTCCTTAAGGCCATAACTGTCCTGGGGGCAAGCTNCGATTTTTATTGTGAGCTACAGAAAAGTAGGTGTGAGAGGTAGTGATCAGTAGAGACCATAAAATGCGCAAGAACAAGTGGCTTTGTTCTGAGCTATATGCTTAGCATTTTTCCTTAAGGCCATAACTGTCCTGGGGGCAAGCTCCCCAGAACCCCAGAACGATAGGGATAAGGATCTGTTTTCTGTTCCTGGCAGAAATGTTTCCCTCGTTTTCAAGGGGATTTCTGCGATTCTGGGAAGCTTGCTAACCAACTCCTTCAGAGTTTGTTCGTTGTTTGCTGGCCTTTTTCTACATTTATCTACAATAAACAGTCCAGGAAGCCAGCCTGCTGTCAGACTTGCAGGAAGTCAGATTGCAGTATCTCTAATGACCATCCAGGAAGCTAAACAATAACCTCTGTAACAACTGGCCCCAAGTGGCCAGAGCTTGATTAATAACTGACAGCTTGTATAATTTTCGTTCCCTCTTCCAGCTTAGGTCCTACTAGAGAAAGTCAGATATACACCCTAACCAATCACATAGGATGCCCTGGCTAGTTAGCTTGCCTACAGTCACCCCCCTTCCCCAATGCCAACAGGGCCCATCTGCAACACACCCACTCTAAGGCTTCCCCACTCCTCTGCCTGCCTTCCAGTCTGCCAAAATATAAACGACTGTGGCCTACTCCCTTGCAAGCTCAGAATAAATAGCATTTGCTTTTCCCATTTGGTTTATCTTCATTTATCTCCACAGTTAGAAACATCCACAGTGTGGCACCTGGTTTGTGGACAAGGGTGTAGCTAGCTGTGTTTCCGATTTAGGAGAGTGACACTTCAGGTCCTGATGTCAATGACAGAGGAGGGTGGGGCCTAAGAACTGAGAACCGGGGTATCTTGCTTGGGCACCTTGGTCGGCTTGTTTAGCATCATAAAGACAACTGAGGAAGAGTAGTGGCGACTGTAGGGGGGGTGGTAGGGGGCTGTGTAGGGAAAAGGGTCTGGCAGGTGGCTAAGTTTTCCTAGGATGTAGAGGTGCTGAGGCTTAGTCATAATGGAAGTAATAATACAGTGAGGCCTGGGCTGATGCTTATACTCACCTCTGCATTCTCTCCAGGTCCTGTCGTGACCCTTGGTGGGCCTGGGAATTTTCAGTCAGGCTGGCAAATTAGCTCAGGGGAAATGAGGTGAGCTGGGAGGGCCACTAGACCTGGGTAGGTAGGGGTAGGAGTACCAGAGGGGTTGGCTTTGTTATGAATGTGACTGATGAAAGCCCAGAATGTGGAACAGAACAGAAATCTATGTATTGTTCTGGGTGGCTTAGATTGGAGCAAGGAACTGGGGCAGGATGGGATCATGGTTTTATTTGCCAAGAACTCTCTGGATGTTTGGTGCAGACTGACATGTGGGAGTTCATGGAGATGCCTGTGATGGGGAGTGGGAGAGTGTACCCTGATAATGGGAATGTAGTTGTGAGGTGCAGAGTTTGAGGAAGATGCAGTCCAAAAAGTGATATATGCATTAGAGAGTGAGTGTGAGCTGGTACTGGGGATTAAGGGAGAAGACTGAGCCCATGTTTATTTGTATGTGGAAGGGATGGCATTGGTGACACTAGGGGAGGGGACCCGGAGTAGAGGGAATTGGTCCCTGCACTTCAGGCCCAGAGCTTAGTGGGTCTCTTTGCTTACCTGCCTATCAATGCTGTGGGCTAACAGTAGGGGACAGACCAGGAGTCCTGAGGAGAGAAGCTGATCATTGAATGAACTGTCCCCATCATGGCAGGACTGTGTGACCTTTGAGGACGTGACCATTTACTTCTCCCAGGAGGAGTGGGGACTCCTCGATGAGGCTCAGAGACTCCTGTACTGCGATGTGATGCTTGAGAACTTTGCACTTATAGCCTCTCTGGGTAAGGCCTTCACCTGTACCTGGGCGTCCTGAGCTCATCTCTTCCTGTCCCCTTTTCCCAAGAGGCAGCATTTTCCTTCCTATGGCCAGACCATGGGTACTGCTCACTTCCCCACTTCCCTGGTATATGTGCTGTGGGTTCCAGGGGTGAACTGCGTGTAGGGTCTCATTCTGTTTATGAGCAGTGCCAACACCTGCTACCCTGAAGCCTTGTGGGGAAGGCAGTGAGGAGTCTTACAGTCAGCCCAGTGGATCCTGTCTGGCTTAGCCACTCTTTGCCTGGGTGACTACCCAGATCTGTGACAGTTCTGTCCTGCTACTTTTCTTTAGCTAACATTTCCTAAGTCCATATTGCCAGGAACACTAGACACTGATGTCGTCACTATTTGCTGTGACCACTGGATGTTCCTGCCAGACCTCCCTTTTGTGTCCTTTTGTAATACATTGTTTGCTTTCCTGTGGTCTCTGGTGGGGTAGTTCACCTGGGCAAGTGCTAGCCACTTATCTGCCCTATCTTTTCCTTAGGTCTTACATCTTTCAGGTCCCACATAGTTGCCCAGCTGGAGATGGGGGCAGAGCCCTGGGTGCCTGACAGAATGGACATGACTTCAGCCATGGCAAGAGGGGCATATAATGGACCTGGCTCTGGTAAGTGGGAGATGGGGAGCATGTGATGTCACTACTTTCTTCAAATCATACTGTCTGCAACTTTTCTCATGTTCATCATTGTTTTGATGCCAAAGCCAATGGCCATATCTCTCTTCTACCTTTCCTTTCCCATTCTTGACACATTGCCCACTTGTCATTTCTACTTTTACTTGGGGCTCCTCCCTGTGCCCTACCTTTCTGGCCTCCATGTCTCACTCTTTCCACAGCTCCCTCTGCTGCACTCTCCAATATGGGCCTATACTTAATATGCCATGAGAAGAGCACATCCCTTTTAATAGTCCTTGAACACTAGCTTCCCAGTTGCAATTAGATTTTCCTGAGCCTAGACATATCCTACTGCCCAGGGCTTATGTGTTACCAGCAGCCAGGGTCTTGCTGAAAAGCCTTCATAGAGAAGTGAATTGGAGACCCTACCTTTCTGCCCGATACTGTACCCCATCCTTGTGTCTCTGGTCCTACTAAGGCCTCCCCTCTTTTGTAATCTTGCAAGGCACCATACTGCAGAGCAGACCATTCCTTACCCTGACCTCAGCCCTCTCATCTTGCCAACAATCCCATGGACTCATTCCTGGGTTAGACATGCACTTGTGACAGGGCTGTTTCCTTCTATCAAAGTTAATGTGAATTTTATGTGTTTCTCTACTTTCAGATGTTTGTCATGGAACAGAGGATGAGAAATCACCTTCTGAGCATAGTGTTTCTGTAGAAGGAGTGTCACGGGACAGGAATCCCAAGGCAGCTCTCTCCACCCAGAAGGACTACCCCTGTGACATGTGTGACCTACACTTGAAAGACATTTTGCACCTGGCTGAACACCAGGCAACACATCCCAGGCAGAAACCATATGTATGTGAGGCAAATGGGAGAAAGATTGAGTTCAGTGCATACCTTCACCAGCAAAAGATGCAGCAGGTAGACAAGTCTGTCATAAGGGAGGGGGATAGGGCCTCACTTGTGAAGAGCTGCGGAGATGAGACATCTGAGAAACCTTTCACATTCAGAGAGGGTGGGAAGGACTTCGTGGCCAGATCTGGTTTTCTCCAGTATCAGGTCACTCACAGTAAGGAGAAGCCACATCAGGGCACCAAAGGTGTGGGGGATTTTCATACTGTCCAAAGCCATAACAGGCGCAATGAATTTGGGAATGCTTTCAATGACAAGCCCACAGTTGCTCAGCACCAGAAAACCCACACTGGAGAAAGGCCTTATGAGTGCAGCAAATGTGGGATATTCTTTAGCCACACCACTGGCCTCTTTCAACACCAGAGAGATCACAATAGAGGAAAGCCATATGAGTGCTGTGAATGTGGGAAATTTTTTAGCCAACACTCCAGTCTCATTAAACATCAGAGAGTTCACACTGGTGAAAGCCCTCATGTATGCAACGAATGTGGGAAATTCTTTAGCCGAAGCTCTAATCTCATTCAACATAAGAGGGTTCACACTGGAGAAAAGCCTTATGAGTGTAATGAATGTGGAAAATTCTTCAGCCAACGCTCCAACCTCATTCATCATAAGAGAGTTCATACAGGTAAAAGTGCTCATGAGTGCAGTGAATGTGGGAAATCTTTCAACTGCAACTCTAGCCTAATTAAACATTGGAGAGTTCACACTGGAGAGAGACCTTATAAATGCAATGAATGTGGGAAATTCTTTAGCCATATCGCCAGTCTCATTCAACATCAAATAGTTCACACTGGTGAACGGCCTTATGGGTGCAGTGAGTGTGGGAAAGCCTTCAGCCGAAGCTCTGACCTCATGAAACATCAGAGAGTCCACACTGGTGAGCGGCCTTATCGGTGCCCTGAATGTGGGAAATCGTTCAGCCAAAGCTCCAGTCTCAATAACCATCGGAGACTTCACACTGGTGAACGGCCTTATCAGTGCCCTGAATGTGGGAAATTCTTTAACCAAAGCTCCAGCCTCAGTAACCATCGGAGACTTCACACTGGTGAGCGGCCTTATGAATGCTTTGAATGTGGAAAAACCTTCAGACAAAGGTCTAATCTGAGACAGCACCAGAAAGTTCACAAACCAGATAGGCCATATAAGTGCAGTGATTGTGAAAAAGCCTTCAGCCAAAGGCCTTCCCTCACTCGGCATCAGAAAATTCACATTAGAGAAAGGAGTGCAGAGAATGTGCTCCCTCCTTCAGCACAACACACACTAGAGATAAGCTCTTATGAGGGAACCATCAGCCAGAAGTTGAACATTGTTCATCCAGATATTCACACTGGGGAGATTCCCTACAGATGCTAGATAATGCTGGAAGCTTTCTAAAGCTAAGTTGTATGTCTGACCATGGACTTGTGGAAGAAGCCATCTCAGCTCTACCCACTGGCAGGTCTCGAGTGTGTGTCAGCCACTCCTTGTGGGAAGGCAGACCTCTGTTCTCTCTTTCTAAGAGGGAATCAGGAGTAGCCTGTGGCTAATAAGAATGCCTCATTCCCTTCCATTGTGACTGGTGTAGCTGTTCACATGACCCATCTTTGGCCATGTGTAGACCTGAGCTGTATTTTGCTGGCAGCTTGCTGAGAAGGTTTCCCTTTTTCAAGGACATTGTTGATCTCATAATACCCGTGATGAATTTATCCGGCGTCCACATTACCCTTTACAACAACTACCTACTTTACATTGGTTTGGGTGATAATAAGGGTCTTATTGATAAAGCCACCTTTAATCTTCTGTATTCTGGTCACTGTGTGGGATGGGTTAAGAACAAAATTAAGGTCTACCAAATTAAAGGGGTCTCCAAATTTATTGTCTCAGAGGGACAATCCTGTTCAGCAGGATGGCAGAGAACAGCTCTCAGTCCAGATTTGGCCTCATTTGTATCGATATTCAAGGCCTCCTAGGGAAAATGTAGGGCTTTGGGGGCCTAATGTCTGAATGGCATGAATTTTTGTGGACCAGAGATTACCCTGAGGAAGGGGCAATTGTGACAAACTCCAATACATAGAGAGTAGCATGAATTATGCCCCTCGTTTCCAGGGGATGCCTCATATTTTCTAGCACTGTTGAACAGACACAGTTTACCTATCACTTGCCAAGGAGCCATGTACCTTTAAGCCTAACATGTGGTATACAGGCGTCTCTGACTGTAAGACTTACTAGGCCCAGTGGGACCATAATTTGTACAGAAGCACTGGGGGTAATAATGGAGTAGGTGACATTGCAGCAAACTAGAGGGAATGTACCTGTTTTAAAAGTGCATCCACAAATGTTCCCTTGAATCTGACTATGCTGGATTCAGGCTTTGCAGAAATTCTCAAGACCTCTGTCCTATGACTAAGGTCACTGGCAGAGCAAATAATCTAAAAGGTTTTGTGGATTACTTTAGGCTCACTGCACTATTTATCTCGAGATCATTCCTGCATTGGCAGAAAAATGGGGACTGAGAGGAGATAGATCCTGTACTCCAGGGGTGTAGCATTTGTGACATAGCCATTTTTGCTGCCAAGGCAAGGAGAGAGAGTCAATACAGGGTTGCCAAATCTTTCTGTTTTCTAAAATGAATAGAGATCAGGTTTTTATGTGCAACAATTTCTTTTAATGATTTGTTGAGATACAATTGTCAGGCAGTAATTGACTGTACATATTTGATGTGTACAATTTCATAAATTTTAAAGTATATATACACTCAGGGAACCAGTACTATAATGATAATAAACCTATCCATCACCCACAAAGCTACCTTGTGCCTCTGCCTTCCCCAGGAAACCATTAGCCACATCCCAAGGAATTTATTGATTTTTTTTTTCCATATAGATCTGTTTGTCTTCCATCAAAGTTTATACAATTGGAATCATAAAGTATTTATACTGTTTTTCGTCTATTTTCTTTTATACAGGATAATTATCTTGACAAGATCCTTGCTGTGTGTATGGGTAGTTCATTCCTTTTACTGCTGAGTAGTGCACTGTAGAATGAATCCACCACAATTTGTTTATGCTTTATGTTGTAAATTAAAATTCTGGTAAAATATATATAATATGAAATTTATTATCTTAACCCTCTAAGTGCATAGTTCAGTGGTATTAAGTATATGTTGTTCAATCATCACCACAATTCATCTCCAGAACACTTTTCATTTTCTAAAACTGAAACTATACCCATTAAATAACTCCCAGCTCCCCCTGCCAAGCCCCTGGAAACTACCATCCTACTTTCTGTCTCTAATTAATTTGTTCTAGGTACCTCAGATATGAAATCATATAGTATTTGTCTTTTTGTGGCTGGCTTATTTCACTCAGCATAATGTCCTCAAGGTTCTTCCATGTTGTAGCATGTGTCAGAATGTCCTTCCTTTATAAAGCTGAAAAATATGCCACTGCATGCATATATATATACACACACACACACACACCATATTTTGCTTATTCATCTGTCATTGGATACTTGGCTTACTTCCGTTTGGCTACTGTAAATAATGCTTCTATAAACATGGTGTGCAGATCTCTTTGAGATCCTGCTTTCTGTTCTTTGGGGTACATACCTGGAATTGGAATTACTGGGTAATATGATAATTATAATTTTTTTAGGAACCTCCATACTGTCCTCCATAGGAGCTGTACCATTTTACACTCCCACCAATAGTATCCAAGAGCTCTAATTTTTCACATCTTCACCAACACTTGCTTGTTCTGTGTGTGTTTAATAGTATCTATCTCAATGAGTGTGAAATAGTATTTTATTGTTTTGATTTGCATTTCCCTAATGATTCATGATAATGACCATTGTTTCATGTACTTATGGGTCATTTGTATATCTTCTGTAGGGAAATGTCTATTCAAGTCCTTTTTCCATTTTTAAAAATATATATTGATTTCAGAGAGAGGAAGGGGGAGAGCGAATTGAATGATCAATGATGAGAGACTCATGACTGATCAGCTGCCTCCTACACACCCCCAACTGGGGATTGAGCCCACAACCAAGGTATGTGCCCTGACCAGGAATCAAACTGCAATCTCCTGGATCCTGTTGATGCTCAACCACTGAGACGTGCCCAGCTGGGCCTTCTTCCTTTTTTTTTTTTTTTTTTTTTATTTTTTTTTTTTTTTTTTTTGGGGGGGGAGGAAAGTCAAGCTAAAATATAAGGTTAAATATGAAGTATTGTAGATAGTAGCATACTGGGTTATAATCACAATTGAATAGATTATAGTCCATTGGATATAATTGGGATTAAAATTACTTGGTATTTTCTGAGTAATCCANGCATGTGCCCTCACTGGGAATCGAATCCCGATCGCCTGGATCCTAGGTCGATGCTCAACCGCTGAGCCACACCCAGCTGGGCCTTCTTCCATTTTTGAATTGAGTTTGTTTTTGAGTCTTAGGAGTCTCTATATATTCTGTATACTAATTCCTTATCAGATGTGTGATTTGCTTCTAATATCCCCCATTCTGTGGGTTGCCTTTTTTACTCTGTTGATAGTATCATTTGATGCACAAAAGTTTTTAATTTTCATGAGGTCCAAGTTCAGTGTGATGAAGCTTTTACCTTCTTCTAAATTTTATGTCTTACATTTACATCTCTGATCCATTTGGAGTTAATCTTTGTATATGATGATAGGTAAGTGTCCAATTTCATTCTTTTACATGTGGATATCCAGTTTTTCCCATTGATCTTAGCACCCTTGTCAAAAATAATTTCTCCATATAGTGAGGGTTTATTTCTGGGCTCTATTCTATCCCATTGGTCTGTAGGTCTGTTGTTATGCCAGTACCTCTGTTTTCATTAATGTAGCTTTGTAGTAAGTTATCAAATTGGGAAGTGTGAGTCCTCCAACAGTGATATTTTTCAAGATTGTTTCAGCTATTTGAGGCTCCTTGAGATTCCACATGAATTTTAGGATAGATTGTTTGTTTCTACAAAAAGTCATTGGGATTATGGTTGCATGAAATCTGTAGATTGCAGTCATCCAACTCATGAACATGGAATGTTTTCCCATTTATGTTTTACTTCATTTCTTTCAGAAATGTTTTGTAGTTTTTATAATACAAGTATTCACCTTCTTGGTTAATCCCTTGGTACTTTATTCTTATTGATGTTATTGTAATAAGAATTGTTTTCATAATTTCCTACCCAGATTATTTAGTGTATAGAAATGCAACTGATTTTTCTGTGTTAGCTTTGTATTCTGCTTTGTTGAAGTCATTTATTAATTCTATCAGTAATTTTGTGGAGTCTTGAGGCTTTGAACAAAGCCTCTTCTGTGAACAAAGATAATTTTCCTTTTTCTTTTTCAGTTTGCATGCCTTTTATTTCTCTTACCTAATTCATCTGGGTAGAACTTCCAGTGCTATATTGAGCAGAATTGGTGAGAGAGGGCAATCTTTATTCCTGATTGAAAAGCTTTCAGTCTTTAATCATTGACTGATGTTAGCCTAGGATTTTTCATATGTGGGTTTTATTATGTTGAGGTAATTTCCTTAAATTCCTAGTTTGTTGAGTGTTTTGTTGTGAAAAGGTTTTTTGTCAAATGCTTCCTATGCTTCAGTTGAGATGATCGTGTTTTTTCCCCTTTATTCTGTTAATGCAATATATTATATTGATTGGTTTTCATATGTTGAACCATCCTAGCATTCCAGGAAAATCCAACTTGAACATAGTGTTTAATCCTTTCAGTATGCTGCTGAGTTCTGTTTGCTAGTATTTTAAGAATGTTTGCATAAAAAAAAAAATGTTTGCATCAGTATTCATAAGGGATATTGGTCTGTACTTTTCTTGTAGTGTCTTTTTTCTGGCTTTGGTATCAGGGCAAATCAATTAGGAAGTGTTCTCCAAGTTTTGGAGAGATTTTGACAAGAATTAGTGCTAGTTCTTCTTTAAATGTTTGGTAGAATTCACCAATAAAGCTGTCAGGTCCAAAGATTTTGTTGTTGGGAGGTTTTTGATTACTCAGTCATTATCCATACTAGTTACAGATTTATTTAGTCTCTTTGTGACTTAGTTATAAGTTTATGTCCCTAGGAATTTGTCTATTTCATCTAGGTTTTCCAATGTTTTGTGTACACTTGTTCACATACTCTTTTTAAAAATATGTTTTCTTGATTTCTGAGGGAGAAGAAGGGAGAAGGAGAGAGAGAGAAACATCAATGATGAGAGAGTCATTGATCAGCTACCTCCTGCACATCCCCACTGGGGAATGAGCCTGAAACCCAGGCATGTGCCCTGACTGGGAATTGTACTGGTGACGTCCTGGTGCATGGGATGATGCTTAACCAACTGAGCCACACTGCCAGGGCTGTCTTCTCTTTTTGAAAGGTTTTTTTGTTTGTATAATACTTCTGAATAAAGGTTGCAATTTCCTGGTCCTATTAGTCATCTTACTCATAGTTTTGTATCCTTTTGTCTTTGTTTCTGGTAGAATAACCCCCCTTCAGTTTTTCCTATAACATAGGTCTTGTAGTGGTAAATTTCCTTCAGCTTCTGTATATCTGGAAAAATATTTCTTTCTCCATATCAAAAGGATAACTTTGCTGGATATATTATTCTTGGCTAGTAATTTCTTTCAATAGTTTGAATATTTGATTCTACTCTCTCCTAGCTTGTAGGGTTTCTGCTGAAAAATCCATTAATAATATAATGGGATTTCCTTTAGTCTTATTTTCCTTGCCTGCCTTGAGAATTCTGTGTCATTGGTCTTTGACAGTTTTAATATAATGTGCCTTTTTGGATTAAGATAGATATTCTTATTTGCTTCTTGGATTTGAGAATCCAGCTCTTCCCATAGGTTTGTTAAGTTCTCACATACTATATGACTATATGTTTGATTGGCTCTATTCTATGTTCCCTTCTCCATCTCTTCTCCTTCTGATATACCCATTATTTTTATATTGCTCTTTCTGATGGAGTTCCCATGTTTGTTTGTTTTTACTATCAAAACTCTTCTTCCATCTGTGTCATTCCTAGGTTTCTATCTTCACTATCATTAATTCTTTACTCCATCTAGTCAGCTCGATTTCCTAAGCTTATTAATTCATTCTTCATCTCTTTTATTGAGTTCTTCACATCCAGAATTTTTATTTGGTTCTTTTTAAAATTTCAGTATCTTTGGTAAAGTACTCCTTTCGTTCACTGTCTTTATTTCTGAGTTCATTAAACTGCCTCAGTTTTCTTGTATCTTGTTGGGTTTTTCAGAACTGTAGTCTTGAACTCTCTGTCATTTAAGTCACATATTTCCATGTCTATCTTCTGGAAATTTTTCATTTTCTTTCTGAGCTGTCTGTTACCCTGACTGCACGTGGTATTTGATAAGTTATTTCTCTGCCTAGGCATTTATGGGAATGAAATCTGCTTTTAAAGAGTGTTTAGCACTTCTCTAGCAGGTTGATAAGAAGAGGTTTCTAGTAGGTGGTGCTGACGCAGTTTTTACTTTCTCTTGCACTGCTCTGGCTTCTTCGATCTCTGCAGCATGATGGAAAATACCCTGTATTCCCTGGGGTGGTGGACTCCTCCTCTGTCACAAGGTCATCTAGGTCTCAGGGTACTAACCCTGTGAGGAAATAAGGTATGTGCTGGGGTTCCAAGCCTGTGAAATCCCAGCACAGCTCCTGCAACCAGACATTGCCAGCAGTGCTGTACTGCCTGAGGTGTTCCAGGTACCACCTGGGTGAGGGCAGGGTGGGCCAGGAGATGCTGGCTCATGCATTTGTGGCCTTGTTCTCCCAGTAATGTGCCTGCTAGACCTCATCTGCCACAACTCTTTATTTCCATGTGTCACTAGGATTAGCCACAGCACGCACCTGTTGCTTAGGGAGAAATGCGTCTTCCTCTCCAGTTCTCAGGGCTGCAGATAACGTGCTCTGTAACCCAACACTCACAGCTACAGCTTCTTCTGGGACCTGCTGGTATCTCTGGGAAGGTGAGGGGAGGCAAGATCTGAGTGGATGTGGGGAGACAGCCAAGTTCTGTGGCTTTGTTTTCGGCCTGATAATGGCAGCTGCTAGACCACAGTTGCCCCGTGTTGTCTCTGCCCTGTCA